TGTGTGTGTGTGTGTATATATATATATATATACATATATATATATAGATATATATATATACATATATATATATATATATATATATATATATATATATATATACCTTTTCTCACTTTTTTATATCCAATGACTATTACTGAGACAAGAATTGAAACAAGGATTCATGACACACTTATTAAATTCGAATTTCTTGATAAACCAAAAACCAAAGAAATCAATACGGTTAAAAATCATATCAAAGAAAAAGAAGAGTTTTTAGGATCATTACAACTTGAAATCAAACACAAGATTGTTACTGATAAACTCCAATCTGAAGAAATGATACAAAAAATACAACAACTCAAAAGTCTTATTGAACGAGAAATATGCCATGAATTACCAACTGCTTTCTGGAACAGAAAACAACACATTGTTGGATTACCATATGAACCTGATTTTAGTGAAACAAAAATTCCAACAAAAGCTAAACCTATCCAAATTAATACTGAATTACTCCAAACATGTCATAATGAAATTAAAGATCTACTTCAAAAGAAGCTTATTCGTCCAAATTTATCTCCATGGAGCTGCTCTGCTTTTTATGTCAATAAAAATGCCGAACAAGAACGTGGAGTTCCACGATTAGTCATTAATTATAAGCCTCTCAATAAAGTCTTACAATGGATTAGATATCCTATTCTCAATAAAAAGTAAAGGATTAATTTAGTAAGTTTCTTTTGATACAATAATTAGTGTCAACTAGTAATGCTCTAAACAGGGTGTGGCTCTGATACCAATTTTGGCTGTGCAGAAATATGTGCTGAAGGATTAGCCTTATGCACAGATATGAAATTAAAGAAACAAATCGATAAACAAAATATAAGTGGCAAAAAAGAATTCGGTGATTTTTGTGAACAATTCGGTTACATATTGACAAAACCAAACCTCATAAATTACATAAATTTAATAAACGGAGAAAACATAAACATAGATCTGATCAAAGACAGGATAAAACCCAGAACTCTCCTAAAAAGAAAAATAAATTTACAAAACGATTTGTCTCTACAAAATCTCAAAGAAAGGATAAAAAATTACCAATCTGCTATAAGTGTAAGTTGGCCATTATAAAAGCCAATGTAAAGTCAAAAAGAAAATAGCAGCGGTGATACTAGATGAACAAATCAGAAATAAAATATATGATATCATCCAAATATACGATTCTCCATCTAGTTCAGACTCAGATACTACGTCATCCAGTAGTCATACATCCTTTCTCGGTAACATCCATGATGAAGACCTTTATTGGTCAAATACAACTACTAGTTCAGAAGATGATGAAGACTTATGTAAATGTCCTATTACTACTTCTAATATTCATACTTTAACAAAAGAAGACAATCTTATTTTAGATTTAATAGAGAATTTCTAATCCTGATGAAAAACGAGAAATAATTACTCAATTCATCAATCTAGCTAAAACAAAAATAAAACCTATCCCTTTACTCAAACCTCCAGATGAGTATAATTTTTTTGACATAAGGAAACGCATAAGTCAGCATGAAGCTTATCAAAAAGAACCGACTATTGCTGACCTCAACAAAGAAGTAAATACCATAAAATTAGAAGTTGCTCAATTAAAAACTAAGATACAAATCCTTGAACTCCAAAATGAAACTCCAGGAATAGATACAGATACAGATTCTATTGAATTTGATCACTTGATCAAAACATATCATCCAAAACATAGAGATAAATGTGAGTCATCTACTCGTAAATTTGTAATTGAGAAAAGTTCTGAAGATAAAGGGAAAGGGAAAATTCCAGTCCATGATACTATGACTCTTCAAGAAGAAGACCCTGAACCTCAAATTAGAAATACTTTGACAAATATGCAAAAATCCTTTATAGAACATAGTATTCCTCCAGATAGTATCCAACGAATTAATTATAGCAAAAATTGGCAACCGATAAATGCTAGACCATACTATAAGAGACCAACTCCTGTTGACATACAACTTGAAGAAGATCTAGTCAGTCATACATCAACTTATACTGGTCGGACTATCATTAATTGGAGTATCGATGGGATTTCAGACCATCAAATATTAGATACTATGCGACATATGACAATGTACGCATCAGCATGTAAAATGGCTGGAAGCCATGATCAAGAAATAGCGAAAGCCATAGTATCAGGATTTACTGGATGGCGTAGAGGATGGTGGGATTTCCACCTCAATGACCAAACGAAACAACAAATTTTAACAAATACTCGTAAATGGACAGCAAAGAATGAACATAACCAGGATGTCTTATTTACTGAAAGTGATGCTGTCAATACTTTGATATATACTATCGCCTTACATTTTATAGGAAATACTGCTATCTTAGCAGCACGAACTGCTGACCTTTTATCCAATCTTAGATGTCCTACATTATCTCATTATAAATGGTATAAAGACGTCTTCTTTTCTCGTTTACTTATACGAGAAGATAGCCATTTAGATCATTGGAAAGAAAAATTAGTCGCTGGCTTATGGCAAGTAATTCTTTTTTCACAGTGGAATAATTCTTTTGTGTAGGATTCCATGCTTTTGAAGTAAAACGAATTAACTGTTCGGTTGAATCAAATTTTTGTTTTAGTATACCACCTAGACCTAATTCTGAGGCATCACATTCAATGATTTTAAAAGCAGTAGGATTAGGTAGTGTTAAGCAAGGTAATTCTTTGGCTTTTAGTTTAAGGCGTTGAACAGCCAAAGTATGGATCTCAGTCCATGGTGGAGGATTCTTTTTCAAATGGTGGGATATCTACAGTACCGATCCCTCCACATTCATACTCAAACGAATACCCCCTCCATGTGAAACACTTCATCCTCAAGAAAATAATATTGTCAGTCTTCCTAGTTTTTCTGCATATCTCAAGAAAATGCGTCTCTCACACCCCAATGCCACATTAGAAGAACTCGAAGAACACCTTCTTCACATCTTCGCAGCAC